GGGCGCCGGCCAATGCGCTGATGGGGGGCCCGAGAATGCGTCACATATATTACGCCCGTGGCGCCATGGAGGCCGCATTTGCGGTTGCAGTTGGGCGGGCGCCCCGCCGCGCGCGCCGCGGCGACAGCTCTCTTGGGCGCCCGCCCGCCGCCGTGGACGTAGTGGACCCAGCTAGTCTCTCGGTCGGCGCGCGGCGTGTCGGCAGCCACGACGCTGGCGGCCTGAAAATGCTTCGAAAGTGTTTCTCCCCGAGCCCGGGGCTATTGTACGTTTTCGGTGGCACGCGCAGCTCGGGGAAAAATCGCCCAGTCCGTCGGCGGCCAGTTGGCCGTCGTCGCGCAGAAGTGCCGGCGGATGGCGCGGTCCGCGCTCAGCGCAGAGAGCGTGTCCATGAGCGTGGACTCGTCGAGGGGCAGGAGGAAGGACTTCGCGGTCGGGACCATCGCGGCCCGCGATGTCCACGGCCCCCACCCTGGGCGCGCGAGGACCTGCTGGGCGCCGCCGCAGCGCGATTTCAGAGGATCTCGGAACCAGAAATCCGGGCGCGCCAAATTTCGCGGGCCGAAAAACTCTCAGAGAGTTTCGGCCAGCGCCGAGGTTTTGGGTTGATGGGAATGTTTCACGCGGGGTGGCTAGTTCAGAGATTTTCAGAGATTCTCAGAGAAGCTCGGGCGCGAGAATTTGGCGCGCCCCGGTTTTTGGTTCTGTGAATCTCTGAAGAGCGGTTCCTTAGGTTTTACCGGGTCTCCAGGCGTCCTACTGTCAGCCAGAGACGAGCGACTGGCTGGCGCTGCGCCCGATGCTCCCGGAGTTGCGAACTCGGTATTCGATTCCCTGGGGCCCGCGGGCCCCTGGGCCAATTGCGAGGTTGCCGAGGCCCCCAGGCGGTTGCGCGCGATTGTCTCGGAAACCGGATGTGGGTATCCATGGTGGACGCCCGCGCGCACGCGCTAGGTGTCCGCGAGATTGTTCGGTGGCGGATCTTGCATGGCGCGGGGATGTTCCAAAGACTTTCCGGGGTGTTCTCTACGGTTATTTCGGCGCGCTTCGGGAACCTTGGGGCGGCGCGGGGAAGTCGCCTGGCCGCGCGCGTGACTTTTTTTTCCTATGCCTTCTTGGGCATTATCGCGGTGTTGCTTGGCCGACGAGGTCACTGAGTAACGCGATGTTTGACATTTTCGTGTTTTTTTCGTTGCGTTGGTTGCGTGATTGTTTTGGCGGTCCGCCTCCTTGGGGCCCCCATTTGGGCCTCAAGTTTGTTTTGTTGACGTCGGGCCTTCTGGAGTGAAAGGCGCTTGGCGCTGAATTCCCTCGGTCGTGCGCGTGGCCAAGTACGCGCCGTGGCTTCATCCGCGCCGGGGCGCTTTTTTTCCCTCGCGAAGCCGATGGCGCCCAGGGCGTGGCAGGCCCGTTCGGCGGCGCCCCCGGTGATTTGAAAAAACCGAGCATGATTTTTACCCCGGTCAAATTTTGCCCCGATCCCGGCTTCATCTTAGAGACTGGCGCCCCCATCTGTCGTGCAGGGCCCGCCCTTGTCCGGATTCGCCCCATATTTCCCCGCGGGCGCCCGGGGAGCTCAGTTGGACGTTGCGTTGCTAGTATAAAATCTTCGCGTAGCGGCGGGCGCCGCGCGCGGTCGGTCGGCGGCCCGCCCGGAGTCTCAGGGGAATCGAGTCTGGAAGTAGATCGCTGATTCAGGGGCTCCGTTGGTATCAGTCCACCGTTCGCTGGCCCGACCAGCGCCACCTGGTCGTCGCTTTCTGGTTCGGTCAGTTCGGCTCCGCGGACCACCCCGCGCTCCGAGTTCGACTCGATCGTCGGCGGCAACCCTCGCGATTCCTAGAAGCCGGACCCTGGCTTAACCGAATCCTCCCTGTTCGTGGGCCCCGTCGGGTGCGTCTTCGCGTGCGATTGCCGCGCTGACGATGGCCGCGCACGCGGGGCTAAGTTCCTCGCTCACGCTGCGCTCGTCGCGCATAAGACACGCGCCATTGGGGGGTCGCACGGGGATGTCTCGTGCTACGCAATATGTGCGATTACGAGTGCCCAGCGTGTCGGCCCACCTTCGTTTTCTAGAAAACTGTCAAGGTTCATATCCGCCGCGTGTTTAGTCATGGCTTTTGCGTTGAGGAAGCAGCTTGCGCGGCCGTTGGGCAGGAGGCCGTCGGCGCCCCTCCAGCGGGCAAGGCCAAGCCCCCCATGAAGGACAGCGGGGGCGTTGCCGCGGCGTCGGCGCCTGGGGGGCAAAACGCCGCCGTCTGCGGCCAGCAGGAAGGGCGACGAGAAGCAGCGCGACAGCCCTCGGCGAGATGAAGGGCATGGGCTTCGACAAGAAGCAGGCGGGCCTGATCAGCGCGCTGCCCACGCTGGTCCTCCTAGCCAGCCAGACTGTTTGCGGCCCGCGGGCGGCGGGGGTGGACGCGTTCTTCGCGGGCGCGGGCGCCCCCGAGATCAGCGCGGCTCAGGAGCGCGGGGCAACGCATTCACGAGGGGACCGAGCCCGCGGGGAAGAGGCCACCAGCTGCGTCCTCCCCATTTGCACATCCTCAATGGGTTTCTCGCCAAGTTGCTCGAGCGCGGATCCGGGCCGGGACAGAGGACGCAGTCGCTGCTGAAGGAGTGGCGCGACAAGGCCTGGGTGGAGCTGCAGCCGGGCGAGTTGCGCAATGTCCCCCGCTTCCTCCGCGCGATGAAGCGCGAGGCGCGCAACGTTTTGCCGGTAGTGCCGATGGGCCAGCCATCGCCCGAGTCCGACGAGCAGCCCCAGCCATCGCCCGCGCTCGCCCTCAGCTTGCTCAAAGGCGGCGGCGGGGCGCGCAGGATCAATGGGAGAGATCCCGCAGAACGCGGTCGACGGCGAGGCGGCGAGCTAGCTGCTAGCACTACAGCTTCCTGCCGAAAATCCCAGCTTGTGCGAGGTTCGGTCGTCGCTGCGTTGCTGCATCTCGAACTGCAAATCCAAGCGCTCGCTAGGTCCGGTCGTCACTATGTAGCTGCAGCTCGAACTGAGAATCCTAGCTTCCCTGCTCGAACTGGCTGCGTTGTGGTCCATCTGCGTTCGTCGATCTTGGCCGCGCTTATGTTTGGTCGCTGGGTGGTTGGCACTTCGTCCTGCTGGCAAGCTGCGCAGACGAGAGCCTGATGCCTAGCGGGCGCTGGTCCGCGGGGGGTCAGGGCCCCTGATTTTGGGGTTTGCTTCATTGACCGTAGCGCGGTGGTCGCGGCATGGTCCCAGGCGCGGCAACCGCGCCATCATTGTAGCGCGTCGCCGAGAGCCGACGCATCCTAGGTGCATTCCGAGCGAGCGCGCGCACATGGGCGGTTTGCACGGCGTCGTTTCCATCGTATCTGTCCTAGGTATTAGCACGCGTCCATACATACAACATTCTATGATCCCCATGGCACATACATAAATCGCTCGCACGGGGTGGGGGATCTCACGCGCCAGGCAGCCCCTAGCGGGGCTGACGACCTTCTGAGCAAACGACAGAATCCAAACATAAAGGTGCGGGCTAAATACACACATTCAGGGCCGATGTTTACACGCATGGGATCTCACCACGGGTATTAATCGCACATTGCGTCGTCCCATAACCTTTTTGGCTCAAATGTTTGCTGGCTCACACAACGGAAATGAACACATCAGTTTGCCGTTCAGACGATGCCGTGCCATTGCCTCAGAATGCCCTTGACACTCCTCGCAGGAAAAGGAAGAGTGGCGGCGACAAGCGCCGAGGGAGGAACGCTCTGCCCAAGGCTGTTTTTGTATACGAACCGAGTAGGAAATGTATCACTGCAGCTATGATTGCTTGCACCTGCTTTCAGATCACAGTCAGCTCGAAAGTCAGATTTTCGTGCTCCCGTGCTGTGCCTTTAGCTGAGCGGTTCCAGGTTACACAAGAGATGAAAGCGTACAGCGGGAGCGTATTCAACTTGCTCGTTGAACATGAAACACATTGTAAAGAGCAAAAAGTGCTAGTGGGCGGGCATTTGTATAATCATTTCAGTGAGTTTCTGCTTCAACAGTGGCGAGTGTTGTCGGTGCCGACTGGGGTTCCCATGACAGAGCCGCACAGCGACCCATCCATCAGGTTTTCATTCGACGTTCCCTCCAGCTACGCGAGGTTCATGGGCGTCGAGGCTCGGATACCTGAACCCTCTCCCCTCGTCGGCGCCCGCTCCGAGGACGACGGCGCCGACGACGACGAGCGCGAGGATATTCCCGCCGCACCACCGCCACCAGGAGAGCCGCCCGACGTCGGGCCAGGTGTTGGACTTCTACCGATTACAGCATTGCGCGGCTTGTATACCACGCAAGAGCGCGGCACCGTCACGCACAGGTACACGCCTGAAGGCATTCTCAGGTGTCTTGCTTTAGCCAAGATGTGCAGGCCTTCTGCTTCGCTGTCGGGCGTGATGGCAGAGGCTGCACCTCTGCTGTTGGGCGAGGAGGAAGGCAAACGGGTCTCAAACGCTCTGAGCATTGGGGAGTGCCGCTTGCCGTCGATCCGCCTCATGCGCACTGCGCGGCTGCGCTTGGATATGGCATCGATTCTGTTTCAGCAGAGGTGGTTCATTAAGTTTGATACGTTGGCGTACACCTTGATTGATTCGTCACCTCAACTCGGCTACAATTTCTTGTGTATCATAGAGGATACAATCAATATACCAGCAGCACACTCTTTGGATATCATGCTTCGCGTTTGGGATGGACCTCACAGAACACTACACAACAAGGGTATGTCCCATGAGTTCAATTGGAAGTGGAAAAGGTTCATTGGTCCACAAATCTTCGAAAACTGTACACGTTGACTTGATGCACTCGGGTAGCGACGACCACTTCCACCGTAAACGCAAGGCCAGGAGAGGGACGACGTCAGACCAGGGCACCGAGAGCGGCCACAACGACATTGCCTTGGATATTGTCCCACGGTACCTGAACACAGAACAATCGGGGTCGCCTGAAAGTTATTTGTACCCGTGGTCCCTCTGGATGCCAGGTCAGTTGCACGTTCTGTACAACAGTTTGGAGTCAGCTGTGAAAGCAAGTGAGTTGTATTCAGATGTCGTCCACGTCCTCAGATTATTTCAAGAGTTCTTGAATGATCATGGGTTGGTGCGCCTGTTCAAAGCCACGTGCTTCGCGGACGACCCACAAGCCGCGAAGGACTTCAAGCCTGGCGCGTCTGTTCACATCGATTGGAAGTGGGGGTATCTTTCACGAGCGTTGGATTCTCAGCTGCCGAAGTTCGTCGCGGTGCAGTCTCGGCTTTCGAAAGAGAAGATGCACTTCGGCAGCGAGAAGGGAGCGCAGACCAGGAACCGCTTCCTCAGTGATTTGATCGCTGCGATGGCAGAGAAAGTTGATTTCGAGGCCAGCGCGGAGGCATTGCGAGCCGTGGGGAAGACAATCGAGAGGACTGCCAAAGAGTTAGAGATCTGTGATTGCCATTGGGACTGTGGCATCGAGGCATCAAGTCGAGGAAGCGGCGAGTGGGCCTTATGCAACAGTTGACTGGGCACACTCGCTGCGTCTGGCAGGGGCGCCGCCTGCCGTGGTGCATCGCAGAAGGGGCGGGACAGATTGATCTCTGATCTCAAGCTTGCGACGTCTGATCGATTGTTGGTGCTCCTCGCGGAGATGCCAGCAGCTCGGCGGAGCAACTTGTTAGCTGCATTGGAGCAGATCACGCTTCGCATCGTGGAGGAGATATGTGACAAGACACGCCACCTCTTCCGATGCCCGTACGTGGCCATCGGCGCTTACTATTCAGTCCAAGGTGGTTCGATAACACAGGGGCGCAGTCTGCTCAAGGCGTCAATTGACGAATACGACGAGGCAATGCGAGTTGGCAGTGGCGGCCAGCTCCACCGAGTTGCTCACAGACTTCACGCGCGCGGCACGATTGTCCGCGATGAATCGGGGAAGTGGACTGCCAGTCTGCCTGATCTTCCGTTGACTTCTTTCCCACACCTGTTCGTGATGCTTCAGGAGTATGCTCTGATCATGGCGGTCGAGCGCAGGATCGAGGCAGTGCATGCCATGATCAAATCTGCTGGCTCACATGCACACGGATTGTCTTTCCCTTCGATTTGCGCCGCTGTGAGGGAACCCGATACATTAGCGCAGCTCAAGACGAATACCGACTTCTGGGAGTTCTGCGTCGCAAACTGGCGCTCCACCGCTTTGGCCTCGCGCATCCTCCATCTCCGATTGAGTCGAGCGGAACTGGGCATCATGGACTTGAAGAGTAAGATATCAAGAATCTATCAATGCGACACGCAGTCAGAGCACGCCACTTGCGCCGAATCCATTGGCGCGCTTATCGTGTGGAGGGGTTTGACGCAAGGCCTACGGAGACAGCCGATCGAGCTCAGGGAAGACACGAAGGCGTTCGTGATGTTCTTGAAGAGCGTGTTGCGACCAGGTACTTACATCAGTATGCCGTCTGAGTTGTTTGAGATGGCCACTGTTGCTGATGGCGATGTGGCGTTGGCAATGGGTCACCCAGCGGGCAACGTCATCGACGCCGTGCTGGAGGTTGTCGGACAAGCAACGCCCGGTGACTTTGCATTGGGCCCAAACGTCGCCTTCGTGCGGGTCGTCAACAGCCACCCAGAGAGCAGGCGCAACGTAGCGCTGCACCACATCAACACGAGAAGATCAACTATAGCAGTGACGTTGTTCGAGGTATGTGTTCGCAACCCTTCTGCAAGGACCTCGCATCTGCTGGCCAAGAACTCTGCAGTCAAACACCTGACACTTGATCTGGCCGCTTTTGCTTCCAGCGTGGAGTGTGCGTTGCAGAACGTCCACGTGTGGGACGTCAAGGGGTGCCTTTCCACGGCCAGGTTGCGGCCGCTGCTTGCCACTACTTTGGACCTCCTCTTGACCGACGGGGCCGCCCAGGAGCAGCCGGTGTGTTCAGACGTTCCTGATGACCGAGTTGCCGTTCCAGCTGGCGTAGAGTTTCGGATGGGCACTGTGGTCGATCATCTCTTGCGTAGCAATGCGATCTCTGGCCAAGGCTTGCTGGGGGCAACGTTGGGGCTCGTCCCAAACTGAGTTCCCCTGTGCTAAGTTTTCGATATGGGGTAGGGTGCCTTGTGTTTTGGACCAATCCAGCCTTTTAGGGAAGCTCTGTTTGGGAAGGCCTTAACGTTGCCCCTTTAGGTTGGTGCAGCGTCGATCTTACCAGCTCTTCTTCCGTCCATGGAGGCGCGGCGGATCCCATTGGCATTGAGAATCTGAAAACTATTGGCGCCATTGAGACAAAGGAGAACGACTTTCTTGAACTGGAGATTGCGATCAAACCGCAGTTTCTTCAATGGTCAATGATTTACGGATTATGGCAGCCGCTTCCTCTCGTTCGCGTCCGCTCCGAGTTTGATTGGCTCTGCAAGTCCAAGCTGGAATTACTCATGACTTTAACTTCGAGCGGCTGGGAGCCAGCCGCCAGACCAGACCACCTCTTCCATATGCAGCGGGCGGCGAGATGCTCTATCATCGCCGCGATCGGGCCCCACTTTCGCACTTCGCTGCCTTATGCGGCTGCTCCGAGATATTTGGCAAGGGCATCGCCAGCATCCACCATGACAAGCCTGACAACTACTATCGATGTTTACTTAAGCTCACTGGAGATAAGCTTCAGGCGTTCATCCGGCTTGAGGGTGGCGCTGAAGATCGGAACGACGAGTTCTACAAGAAGCAGCTCGGCGACGACAACGTGACCGACGACTTGTTCGAGCTCGAGGGGGGCATCATCGAGCCCCGTCTGCCCATTCAGGATGGCGATCTCGGTGTGCCTGGTGTCCACAATGCGGCCGCAGTTCCAGAGAGGGATATCACAGTTTGGACTCGCGTTCGCGTGCACACAGGCGACGGCGCACCCTGCATCAAGATTTAGTTTGACCACTTCAGCCACCAGAACGGCAGGCAGAGAGGATGGGTTGATTGTAGGCACCACGGTTGCATACACTATGTTTTCACGTTTGGTGAGAAGCGACAGTTCTGTGCAACGATGTTAGCATGGGAGACAGCAGGTGAGCGACACGCGATTGCTTCTAAGGCCGACCACTTGGCCTACGTACCGTCGCCCGAAGAGGTGGCGTCTGTTGAGGCACATCTCGTGATGGAGGACTTGTGAAACCTACATGTTTTTCAAAACAGTGAACGGCAACAGCGCACATAGCACGTGATAGTGTCGTCGTCGTCGCCCAGCAATTTCGCATGTGATGGGTTGGGGCGAGAGGGCAGGTGTGGAAATCATGAATATAAAACAAGTGAGTTCGTAGGTTCCAGATGGGCTCGATGGGGTGATAGCGTGGGGTGGGGTTTCCGAAAATCTGACCGATTTCCATTGCCATACTTCCGTGGGCCCATGATTTGGGCCCTGAGAAACACCTGCTCGATGGGATGCCCAGGCGCATGCCATCACTTTCTCGGGTATCCAGCATTCCGTTGAGGCGCCAGTTCCTTGCGTTTCTGCACGTTGCACTTGCCGCTTGCGCAGACGGTGTGGCCCTCCAGGTTTCAGAGAGTCGGATTGGTCCTGACATCGGTGACCGACTGTTGCGGCGAGGTGAGTCGCACTTGTCATCGGATTCTCCACGGCGCTGATAGCCATCGCTGTTGTGGTTGAAGCCGGCATTCTGGCAGGCCCCCGTCAGTGCCCGAGCCGCGGCGCGCGCGGCTTCAGGCCTCCGCCATGGATCCCGCCAGTGGCGCGGGCTCCCAGGGCCACCTTGGCGTGCCGCCCCCGCCCAGTCCTGGGATGACGGCGCCATCTTCGGGCACGCCGACACTGGCAGGTTCGGCGCGCGGTTCCAAGTCCAAAGGCACCCGCTCTCCGTGCGACGGCGTTCTCGACGGCGTGATGGTGGACTTCGAGGATAGCCAGGGCGCAGGCCCCGCCATGGTGGTCGCGAAGTCGGGGAAGTCTGGGCAGAGCTCCTCGGCCGCTCCCCCTGGCTCCTACACTTGCGCCAAGTGCAAGAAGGTGCTCCCGCTCTCGGAATCCATTCCCAAGGGCACGCAGTTCTGGTGCTTCGCGGACAACAGGTCGTGCAACGGATTGGTCGCTAGGTGGTGGAAAAACCAGAAGCTTCGTCATTGGTGGAATGGCCTCTCGGAAGCAGATCAGACAGAGTGGTTTCTCAAATGGCAGCCCATGGATTCGAAATCCAGGTTCCAGAGTTTAGAGTTCAAAGAGGAGCACCAGGGCAGCACTAGCCAGGGTAGAAAGACCCATCCCACCCCCATTCCATTTGGTTGTTCGCTATCGGTTCCCATGATGGGGGGGAGGTGTGGAGGAGTGGGGGGATTTGAAAAGTGTTGACGGCCTTCGGGTCACTGCTCTAGGGATTTTGGTCACGATTCGGCGGCGCTTCGGAGAAACATCGGGGATGCAATAGCAACGAGCGCCTCATGCCGTTGATAAGCAACCGTGGCAACAACCATCCCGCTGTGAGATCAGCAACAGCAGGCACGCAAACACCAACCAGAATACATCAACATCAATGACACGACACGGCCAAACCTCAAGAGCAACGAACACATGGCACTTCCAAACGCACCAGCAGCAGCAAAGCATCTAATCGACAAAACAAAATTCAGAAACAACAAACAGCACGCGTACACATAGGAACCCTGGCAGGAAGCAGTAGAGATTTGCAACGATGACATCGACGGATGGATACCGTGGAATGTATTCTTGCGGAACGGCATCATGGAGGGGAAGGCCCGCGAGGACCTCACGAAGGAGTGGCAGCACATCATCGACACTCAGCAGTCGGAGTGCAAGTGGCATCGCAACCAGTGGAACGTCCCACAGTACGAGGGCCTCAAGCGCATCAAGCGCCAGCGCACCAGCGAGATCGCCTCTTCTCATCGCAGTGCCATTGTCAGGGCCGCTGATCATCGGCAGAATCTTTTCGCTGGCGGGAGAAGCAGGCTCGGTCAGTACGAGAAGTCGCTGACGCCCGTGCTCACTGCTGATGTTCGGCCTGGCGCCCCGCAGCTTGCTGTCCAAGCTCGCCCAGCAGACCAGCCAGTTCGTCAAGAGCCTGTCAGCGTGCTGCTCCCGACGATCGCGCGGGAGGCTGCAGCTCAATGGGAACTTGTTCGTTTTCTTTTTTCCCATGTTCCGAATGCCTCTTGATGTGTGGCAGTCCATCCGGACCCCGTGTGCCTCTAGACGATTGTGTTTTATCTATTCGTCTCCCCCGCTTTCGGCATCTTGAAAACATGTTCGCAACTTCTTGTTGTTTCAAGATGTGGGGGGGCGAGCTCCTTGGGCTGGCGCCATCGCCCGCGACGCGGCCACGGTGCGGAACCTGGGGGCGCACGAGGCCTTTCTGGCCCAGCAGGCCGCCGCCTCCGCGGCGGAGGCGAACCGCAAGGGCGAGGGCGCCAGCGGAGCTACCAGGAAGCCTGGTGCTTCCGTCGCCATCGAGGAGTCGAAGGTCAAGGGTCTGGCTGGCACCATGGCCGCGAAGATCGCGGCGCAGATCACGAAGCTCGAGGGGGGCATGAGAGCTACCAAAGCGAGTTGCATCTCTGCGTACGGCCCAGAGGGTGGATCGGCTGCTTCGGCGTTGGGTGAGTTGCAGGGGCTGGCGAATGCTGCGATACTCTACGTGAGCCAGACCGTGAACTCCAAGATGCAGGATGTGATGGGCAGGATGGAGGAGGGGTTGACGACGGTGCCTGCTTGCAGGGCCATCTCCAAGGAGATCTCGGACATCGGCAAGGAGTTGAACAAGGGCGCTGTCAAGGAGTTCACGACCATGAACGGCAAGGTGAAGAAGATGATCAGCGTGCACTCTTGGGCGGCGAAGAGCACTGGCAGCGCGGAGGTTGAGTCTTCAGCTCGGCCGCCGAACCCTCTCTTCGAGATCCTGAAGCATATGCAGGAGGTCAACGTCGGCACTTCCCTTGTCGAAGCCAAGGCGGGGGTCAAAGTGTCCAAGATGAATGCCGTAGCGACGCCGACCCAGGTGAGCATCTACGAGAGCGTTCGCAGTTCGGCCGTCATCAAGCGCGGCATCAAGGCCATGCAAAGCCACATGAAGACCACGGGCGCGGACTGGGCATGCACGTTGGAACCGAAGGGCAAGAAGGTCGTCTCCCTCATCGGCAAGTCCTTCGACGCGATTTGCACGACGAAGTTGATTCTCCCAGACGAGCCGTGGGCTCACCAAGTGTACGCGCCCGAGCTGGTCTCGACGACGGAGACTCGCACTGTCGTGCAGGCTGGGATCCACGGGTGCACGGAAGCTCGCATGTACTTGGACGGTAGTGAGACGCTCGTGTGCTTGCCGCATTACAGCGTGCCTGGGGCGAGTTGGCGCGAGAAGCGCCGCAGCTTGCACCAGATGACGATCGACCAGATGAACACGTTGGTGGACCAGGCCAAGGGCACCATCGCGCTGGTCACGAACACCGACGCCGGCTTGCTCATCCCCAGCGGCTTCCTCGTCCTGTCTGGATGCACGCAGACGTGCACTTACCTCCGCTGGGCTGTCTCTGGTGATGAGGCGGACTCGAGCCGCACGAAGGCGATGTTAGACGTGCTGCTTGACACGTACCCTGAGTTCAGCAACCCCATCAGGCCGTACAGGAAGTTCCAGGAGTTCCTCGCGAATCGGTGATGCACGAGTGGCTGGCATTGCATGTCGAGAGTCGTGGCAATGAGTGGCCAGCACAGACGGTCTGTTGGGGTTACGTATCTTGTCTGTGGTGGATGGTGGCTTCAGTTACACGGCGACTGGGATGAGTGAGCGATGGCTCGCACGACATCCTGGGGAAGAGAGCTGTCTTGAGCCACGGTGCAGACTCTGTGGTACGAACGCCTCCTCCCCCCCTTCCTCTTCACTCCTTCATCGTATCTCCTCGTCGCCATCCTTTTACCTCCAGTTCGATCCCATCTCTCCATCATCCCTCCT